AAGAAGGTATGAGCATGGGAATACGCCTCAAGGGCATGATTCCTTCGATGGTTTGGTCAGTATAACTACCTCTGTTCTATTCTGGATGGCTATGACAGGCTATCTAGTTGCCTGTGAGTGGGAGAGCGGCATGAGCAGGGCCCTAGGTAGATGAGATTGAGATAGAACATGTTAAAACGGCTTATTGCGGCGAATATGAGGCCTGGTACACTCCTTGGAGCAGGATGGAATCCCTTCTCGTAGACCCCTTTCCCCTAGTCACTTTAGATCTAGTCTCTAGGCATTTCCCTTCCTTTTTTCCCTTTATTATTAACGATTAGAACGAAAACCACAGCAATTATCCCCGCTGTCACTAAAGGCAGAATAGGGCTTGACTCTTGATCTAGGAGTACTTCCTAGACTCTAGTCTCGTCACCTATTATGTGGTTCTCTACCTCTGTATGCCGGGGCTTAGCAGAGGGGGCCATAGAGAGAACTTCACAGATGGGGGCCCAACCTTAACATGGTGGTTTTTGTTTCTTTTCGATCTCTTTCATTTTATTAATAATGTTTCTATATTTTACATCATCATGTTGCCACGGTTCCCTCTTTCGAACGACATAATGATCGTCGAATTCGCGCGCACGGTCGCGGCGAGATCGCAAGTCGGGTCTCTGGGGTCCTCCGTTAAGGGATGCAAGGATTTGTTGTGCTGTAGGGTTTCATTCGGTCGTTCCACTGTCAGTACTAAGGGGAATAAAGAAGAAAGTGCCTCATAACTAGGTCCAAAGTGACAAGGGGAAAGGGTTCTACCAGAAGGGATTCCATCCCGCTTCAAGGAATGTGTCAGGTCTCCGTTACTGCTCCTTATAACCGTTTTAACGTGTTGTTTCTATTGTCTCATCCATCCACGGGCTTCTTATGTGCCGCTACTCCCGCTCCAAACATCGGGATGGCATATGTCGTCAACAATATAGCAACAGACGTGTTCTCCGACCAGACCCTTGAAGGAATCATGCAAATAAGGTGTATTTCTACTGCTCATACCTTCTTAGAAGTTCATCTTGGTCTGGGTTGCGGTCTCTCCCGGCGACGCCATCACCTGAGCACCCGCTGGCAACATTCAATACACTATAGATAATAAAAGGGGTTGGCGAAAGCTCAGCCAAAGGCTGGCCTGAAGCAAGAGGGCCTTCTAGGTCTTTTTGGTGAAGGTAAATCTATTCAACTTTCTCCAAAATAAAACAATACATAAAGGGGAATCAAAAACAATAACAGGCATCTCGACCAACGTGGTAGCATGTCATAAGTTGGCATACCACGTCAACCGCCCTTCCTTCTATAAAAACCTCTCTCGTATCTATGCGGAAAAACTATGAAAAACCCCGAGAGGGAAAAGAACGGAACAGGAACAAGGAAATAAGAATGAAGGCACGACGTCTATATAAGCAACACATTCATGCCTCTTGGTGAGGTTATCTTATAATCTCACAGCTTCTGCTGCGGCCAATGCCTTCTTTCTACCAAGACCCGCAAACATTCCTCTGTACTCTTGAATTTACCTCGCGCACTCCTTGGAATGTTTGGTTGTTGGAGTACGCGCTTGTTGCTGTATTGGTATGAAACCTAATTTAATTATGATGAAAGATCGTAATTACAAACCTTCATTGCTTAATATTTCCTGTAATGGGGTACGCGGTGAAATAATTGAAGTGACTGGAGCATGACGTATTCGCTTTTCAAGAGCAGACTCGCCATCAGCAAAAGTCATATCCGAGATTTCGTTTAGAATGGCGTTATCCAACACCACCTCAGCATCCTCCTCTGAGTGGACTCTTGTGGAGACAACCAATCCCATAGCCATGTCCAGAAATTGTCTATTGGTTGCATCATCGTCATGCCATCACCATTGTCATCAACATTGTCATCGTCATTGTCCCTTTCAAACCTATCCCTATTTTCACCCTCCGTAAAGACAGTTCTTTGACGCTTGCTGATTAGAGGTCGTTGCTGGATTGGGTAAGAGTTCAACCTCATCGCGTCTGATCCGCTCTGTCGTTTTCTGCTGCTGGTGTCTCCTTTGATAGACATAGGACTTTCCCACCTGTCTAGAAACCGCGTTAAGAAGAACGTTGAATGTGCCACATACTTTGCACTGAATAATGAACGTAACACAAAGCTTTAACCGTCATCATACCAATATAGTTCGAAAATACCCGTCAAACAGGATGCGGGCTTTTATAATAATATTATTTACAAGACCCACCTTTTATACTTTGAGGTCTAATCTATATTTTTTTCTTTAACCCTTATTACTGTTTACTTCAAGTTGCAACAAGTTTTATATAGGACATTAATATACCTCAAGTCTATACATCGCGGCAGTATAGAAGATGTTTGCCGAATACTGGACAGACCACTGCTCTTTCTTTTCTTTTCTTTTCATAAAATAAAAATATCTGGGCAATCCCAACTCCCATACATGCAAAACACATACTTTTGCATATACTTTTACTTATATCCGCTGCAACTATCAACCTCATCACACACATCACCCCATTGACCAATCCTAGCCATCTCCACCATTAGAAATGGATGGCGTCCACATTTGTGGATCAGCGAAGATGGAAGGGGGCGTAAGCGAATGTGAAGTTGATAATGTAGCTTCAATAAAAAAAAACCAAAGAAAAAAACTGACTTTAATGCGTTCGCGTCGGGAAGAGTTAGTCTACCGTTGAGTGCATTTTTGCGAAGTATTCCTAATCATGTTCTATTTTAAAAAAATTGTTAGACTGAATGAACAATTAAAAAAAAACATATTTACTCGTCAACCTAAACACTAAATTAATAAATAAGGAAGGAAAACAATAACAACATAAAAACTTACAACAGCCAAAGCCTTGGTCTGTCCTGGTGGATGGGCGGATGGGCAGCTGAAACAACTTTCAATCGATGTCTCGAAGTCTATTAAAAAAACAAGTTTAAGTGAGCAGAATTAACAATCACCGAGACTTCCTCGCCCTAACCCATTTGATTGACAATTGACGAGTCCCCTTGCGATCCTGCACTAATGCTGCATTAGGAATAAGTATTATTTTTAAAAAACTGAAACCCACAGTTTATTCCATCCCTCTGCTCCAACCCACGCATTCTCGAAACGACCTAACAGTAAACTCAAGAAACAAACGTCGTCGTTGGTCCTCACACATTCGAATTGTTATTTAAAGGTGACACCGTCGAGAAAACTGAAATCACCAGATGTCGCTTTACAATGATCATCCATCCATCCATCCCATCCATCCATCCAACCATGCCTTCCATACTATGTTGAACAATGCAAACAGTTATTACAAACGTACGCCTCACAACTGAAACAACATCCAGGTTCTCAGCGTCCCTGTCCAACAACCATTGAGCAAAGAGTGGATTAAGGCTTTTGCAGGAGGTCAAGAAGATTGAAATGGATACGGAAGCTGGGAGGGTGGATGATGTTAGTCAAGTTCGACGGTTGGTATTACGGGATGAGGTGACGAGGAATAGGGATTGGGATGAGTTGTTTATGAAATGGGGCATGATGTTCTTGGTACTTTGAAAAGACGACAAGGAATTAAACCAGGTCTTAAATCACCAGGGAAGAACGAACTTGGGATAAAGTCTCCACCTCGCTCCCCTCAATCCTTTGTGCGGTCCGCTAAATCACGTGGGATAGATGGCCGATGGGTGAGAAAAGAATGGGTGATTTGTGAATGAGGTTGAGAAGGAAGGCAGTGACTGGAGATAAGGATTCGGGATGGGTGAGTGTATGACGTTTGAGAAGGAAGGAGGTGGCTGAGGATGGGTAAGAAAGTTGGAGAGGTTGAGACGGGGAACATGTTAGTAGCTAAGAAAGCAACGATGGGGTTTTGAGGTATATAGATATAAATAACTTTCAGAAGAGTATCGTTACATTTGTTGATTTTTAATTTGACTATTACATATAAATATTTTATTACATATTATTAATATATTTTTAGTATTATAATCAAAAAGAAAAAAATCATCCAATTCAAATATGTAACAAGAGTGCCGAGCTGTTCATGCATAAAGTGGTAACTATCCAAGTTAAATTGCATCAACAAGAATTCCACCACGCTCATCATCATGCTCACATATGTTTATCTCCAAAATCTCCCAAGGAACGTCCCAGTCGTCTTTGAAAATAATCCCGGTCTCCATGATGTACTCCGCCGACTCCTGCAGAACTTCATCCACCATCTCAACAACCATTGATCCATGATTCCTCCGATTCACATGACGAAGAATTCCATCCAACAACTGCCTTATCTTTTTAAAGATATCTTCTGTAACAAAATGCGCTGTGATTATCTTCTGATGAAGTAAGTACAAAATGAACAGCATTCTTACCTTGCTTCACTTTGAACGACTGAATCTCCTCAGTGTTATCAACAGCGTTGAAGGCCATGAGATTTCTTTCACAGCTTCCATCATCCAGGTTCTGTGGCAAACTCTCTTGTGACGTCTCCCTGATTGTTGTCTCCACCCAAAAAAAATAAAATAAATTAGAAAATAAGGGCCTTGAGGGCGTTGTTGGGTGGTCAATCAATAACTGGGAACGTTGTCGGGTGGGGTGGTCGACCCGTCGTCGATAAGCAAATGGGGGGGCCCTGGATATTTACCTTCGCAGGGGCCGCGTGCGCGCGGCCACCCTGCGGTGAACACCTTGTGTCCAAGAAACATAGCCATTGACCGACCTGAGGTAACGTGGCGCCTTAGACTGCTCGGCAAAAGGACGCGAAGGTAAAAAGTATTGGGTATATAATGTACTACAAAGTGTAAAATTATATAAAACAGTTGGCCAGATGGCCGAGCGGTCTAAGGCGCCACGTTCAGGTCGTGGTCCGAAAGGGCGTGGGTTCAAATCCACTCTGGTCACTTCATCTTCTCCGAAATAGTCTAGTGGTTATGATCCCGCTCTCTCACAGCGGTGGCCGGGGTTCAATTCCCCGTTTCGGAAATTTTTATCTCGGATAGTGTAGTGGTTATCACGTATCCTTCACATGCTCCTGAGCTGAGATCGGATAAGGCCCCGGGTTCAATCCCGGTCTGAGAATGACTTCTTTTTCTCTAATCCCATAGGAAGCTTTCTGTAATATTTATAAAGCTTAATTCATTAGAAAGAAGCTATGTATTATTCAGATTCATTAAGATTCCTACAGAAAATTTCCTATGAGGATTGTAGAAAAAGATTGATTTTTTCAAAGCTTTTTTCATTAGAAAGAACGCTTATAATGAACGCTTACATGAATTATTCTACATAGCGATATTCCTGCAGAATCTAATTAGTTCCATCTTTTTTTCCAATCCTCGAATTAGGCCCTTTCGTCCAAAATCGTCCAAAAATAATAGAGGAGGGACTCCTGCATCCTCTTTCATTACTGTAATTAGCATTGCCATAAGAGTTCTATTCAGACCTTTTACTTTCTAGTGCTGTGCATGGGAGTTGAACGAGGAACAACGCTGTCTACTACCTTGTTGTCAAATGACGCGGTATTATGAGAGAGCAAGCCCAAACCAAGGTAAGGCACATGTCCTTCAAAGGCCTTGCCGGAGAATCCCGTTTTTTTATTATTATTTTGCTATATTGATGACAATATATGTGATAGTGGCACATAAGAAGGCGCCTATGTATAGATTTAACACGCTGAAATTATGACAAAATAAGCTTGCGATGGTCTTTGCCTAACACTTTGATTTAGAAGTAGTGCATTCCACAAAAAGCTCTGAAACAAAAAAACAAACATTGCAGTTGGGCATACAGCTTTTAAGGCGTGGTCGAGATTAAATGGGAGTGGATAGATTTGAAATAAGGGCTGAATGATGGAGTTTTACACGTCTGGATGGTTTATGGTGATGGAGATGAATCTTATAATATATGAAGGAATTAGCTTGTTATGGTGGTGAGCCTATTGATAATGCCAAAGTTTAAACTAACTTTTCCGATGGATAACGCCTGGTACGTGTATTCTATGCCAATTATACAATATTGGAATTCGCTGACTTAACGAAAAGCCTATGGAAGAAAAGGTTGTTGTCGGATGAAAGTCCGATAATAACATCACCAAAAAAAACCCACTGAACATACGCATTCCAACAATTCTACCTCTATTCCCATAACACCATTTACAAAATAAAGAACCAGACGAGAGGCAAAATATGAAAGTGGGTGAGGTTTAGCATTGGGGGAAGGATTAAATAATGCATACAGGAGGTGGACGATGTCATTCATAAAGGGTATATAGATGAAAGGTGAGATGTTTTCGGAGGAAGAGAGAGGGCGAGATATTTAAAGAGTTAAGAGGAAGGCGGGATCGAGGAGATGTATGTGAGGAGGAGGTTTGAAGGATGATTATAAAATAGGTGAGAGAGGGGGAGAAAGGGAAGATGTTGACGGAAAGCAGATAAAGAAGTCATGGAGGACTTCAACAACAATCCAGTTTCTCAAACACTCAAGAACGAAGCGCAAGTTGCCTGAGCTATTTACAGTAAAGCTTTTACGTAATCAAACAACATCCTATTCTCTATTCAATCTTCTTCTCTGCTCAAAAAAAAATAATTATAATGTTCGAAATCTTCACGTTTTCCTATACCCTCCTCCAGTTCTCCTCTCAACTCTTCCAGCTCTCCAATACGTTTTTGCCTCTCTCAAAACTTCTAACATTGTTTCGCTAGCAGGCAGGACTCAATGCAGCGAATCACATGGAACCCTGCAGACAAGGCGGATGAGTGGGAGACGGACGAAGAGTTTTGCTGTGCAAGAAGATGGTGTGAGCGACGATGTTGTGGTGATGGTATTGGGAAGGGTAAAATGAGAAACGTGGAATTCAGAGTAACCCGAGATTTGTGGATTTGTAGGGTAACCATCATTGGACTTGAGAAGCGCTGACGGATCTTGTGAGATCTTCTTGGGAGTAGCGAGACGGGTTGTATGGACCGTTGCTGTTTTGTGATGTGGAACGTTTGCGTTTAGACCCGGTATCATCAGCGGGAGTTAAGCATTATTAAGGACGATGTAGATGGGACAAGTGTCATGCGCTCTGCAAGGTGTACCTCGGACTCTCTGAACCATCTCTTTTCCGAGACATTGATCGACGGGGGAAGCTTGGAATCTTACCAGGGGTAGGGATGTGCGATGGGTGTGGGACGTTGAGGGAGATGATTGAAGATTTGTGCGGATATGGCACGACGAGACCGCGTATCCATTTCAGCGAGGGGGGGTAAGGTTGAACGGAATTGAGGAGGAGAGAGATGGACATGGAGGATGTTGAGAGAGAACGAGCAGAGGAAGATGTGGAAGATGTGTGCCATGCCAGCACATATGGTCGGTCCATCATCCCTTAGATTTGTGGAAAACAATCTGCTTCACCGCTAGATGCAACTCTCATCCCTTCAACACGGATCATCCATTCATTTTTGTACCTTCCAACATATCAAGTGTTTCATTCGCCATTGGACAAGAAATAAGTACAGTCAGGTCCGGTCTTGTCTTGGCCTGTTCTCAGGTGGCAACAATGCTTTCCAGAACCACACTAAAGGTCAGGTTATCCTTCAAAAGAAAGAAGCTGGTTTGCGTTTTCCGCAATGGGACGTGGGCATTGACTATAAAGACTTTGGAGAGGAAAGCGTAGATCATGCGGTTGGATGGACGCGGGTGGTGGAGAGAGCGGTGGTCATGACTTGTAGAGTGTGGTTTTGAGAATGGGATATGTCAGGGTTTTTGGTGGGCATGAGGGGTGTGGGCGAGGATGCGAGACGGGTTGGGTATAAGTAATGGTACGAGCAGGGCGGCGTTTTTCGTTGAAGAAAAATTTTGGAAAAGGAAACGAGAGGCGAGAGTCTGGTGTTGAATGAGTGCTTTTTTTTTTTTTTTTTGGCGTTGGTGGTATGGATCAAGGGGGAAGGTATTCGCTTGTTTTCTACAAGGCGGGGTCGGTTGGATGTTAGATGTTTCGAAGGAAGAAAAGGGATGTCAAAAGGGGATTTGAGCATGTAAGTTTTCATGCGGGGGGATCCGGTATTGTATTTAAGTGGTGGTCTGACGCGTATCCTGCAAGCTACGTACTGTTACTATGTCCCCGCTATTGTAGATTTACACGGGGTCCGCTTCTGATCCGCCGACGTTCTTCTCTCGTTATTTCCTTCCGTGCGGAAAGATATGCTGAACGGGATTTACACCCAGTCCTGTTATTTGAGTTTCCAAGAGCAGGGATTCAAACTTTGAGGAAAGGTTTTTTGGAAATCAATCACTGGAGCAAAGTTCTTAGCAAGGATGAGGGAGGGTCGGAATAAAGGAGTGTCTGCGAAGGCGGGTCTGGATGGGTGGGTTGGGATCGACGGTCCGGTGGAGCAGAATGTGAAGGGATGGATGGATGGAGTTGGAATGTGATGTGCAGTGAGATAAAAAAAAAAAAAGGGAGAGTGATGGGAGAGAAGAGACTCTCTGGTTGGAAGGATGTGCGTTGGGAGGTGACTCTTTTGAGATTCAAGAGCGTCGTCAGTTGTTTAGACGGGCGGAGTTGTTTTCCATTTATAGAGGACAGGGTAAATTACGTGTTTTGTGGATCCGGGAGAATTTATAAAAGAATAATTTTGCATTTGTTTGGCCTATCTGCTCTATCTATCTATCTATGGGGACTATTAAGGGGATATGGGGTTAGGGGAGGGGGAGCTTTTGAAGGAAGGAAGGAGGAAGGAGAGAGGAGAGAGGGTAGGAGAATAGAGAGGGAAGAGTGGGAGTGAAAGTGAGATTGTTTGTGTAGAGTGTGGGGTGGAGTGGATGGAGTGGAGTGGGGTTGACGGAGGGAGATTCTGATGTGATATGTGATGTAGATGCGATGCTAGGGAGGAATAGGTCTTTTTGCAAAAAACAACTTTTGATATGGAGGTTTATTCGGGATGATCAAACTTCTTCTGCTTTCTCACACTCAACTCACTCAACTCAACTCAACTCACAAGGTGTATACATTCCATGCCGTAGAAATGATCTGACTGACCATGGCATAATGGTATCCCATCCTCTACTTTTCTAACTAACTACCGTTGTTCCGCATCATTTCCTTTCGATTATTTTCCTTTTCTTCATGTTTTCTTTCGCACTTTGTAACTAAACAGGAGATAGTAGATGTGATATGATGGAGAAGAGAGAGGGAAGAGGGTCTCCACCTTTAGTCTTGGTGGTTTAATAGGGTATTATATAATTATTTGAGAGATTACGGGGATGGAATGAGCGGGAGGGCATTATATGGAATGAAAGGATGCGGGATGGCAAACAAGGGAAAAAATGCTATTTTATTACATACAGACATACATACACTAATGCACTACACTATTTTTTTTTCCTTTTATCAGTTCAACTACTTTTTTCTTAACTCTTCACTATTATTCGATGCATAGAGAGATAGGGATTAATGTTTGCGTAAAAGTTATAGGATGATGATGGGATGGGATGTTGTTGAGATGTGTTGACGGAAGTAGTGAGAGACTGTCTTTGAAGATCGTAAAACAAGTGAGCAGAGTTGAGTTGAGTGGGAGAAAGAAAATAAAAAGTATAAACAATGCCCTTCTTTTTTTTCCCTTTGGTCTGTATAGACTAGGCGAGAAGAGTTATCGACATTCGACTTTTCAGGCAGAATTGACGCTTAGTTGACCTTTCAAAAGGCGATGACTTTACCCATCAACAAAATGACTCATTTATTTGGATTTACAGATTTATTATTGGGTGTGATAGTTTCCATGCATTTTGACCTAATTCAGGTATTTGTGAACATGACGTAAGACTTTCCTCAGCTTTGTCTCTTGGGATCTACCAAGAGCTGTCGAAAGAAATCCGTTCGTCCGTTCTCTAAGGATGATGATTGGTAGGAAGTAATATGTAATTAGTATACGATATATTAATGCATATAAAATAATAATATGAAGAATTATAATAAAAAAAGGTTACACCTGGGTACGTGACATGACATATTGGAAGGTGATTGTGCAATGGTCATATGTATTTAGAATGCAATACAAGTATTGATGGAGTAGTTAGAGCATATCGTTGTAAAATTCTCA